ATGTGTGCATCTGGATTGTATCCTTTCTCTATACCTAATCTGTATGCTGAGCAAGTTATTCAAGAATATGGACTCTCTGAAGAAGAATGTGGCATCAGGATTGGTGGAATACTCATTAATAAACTTCATTATGCAGATGACACAACCCTGCTTGCTAAAAGTGAGGACTTGAAACTCTTGCTGCAGAAAGTTACACACTACAGTCTTTAATATGGATAGCATTCCAACACCTGTGTCTGGACTATTAAGCCACATTATGATGGATGGAGAAAGGTTTGAGACTGCAAGGAATCCGCCTTTCTTGGATCCACAGTCAGTATATTGGGACCAGCAGCACTGGGAAACTGCAGTTAGGGATATCTCCAAATTATTGAGGAGGAATGATGTCAATTTGAGGACAAAGGTGCATCTGATTATGGTCTTTTGAGTCACTTGTTATGTGTATGAGAGCTGGAAAATAACTAAGGATGACAAAAGAATTAATGTGGTGTTGGAGAAGTGTTGAAGATTCATGAACTTCACAAAGAACAAACAGATATATCTTGGAAAAGGTACAGTTAAAATGCCTCCTGGAGGCAAAGACGATGAAACTTCATACCTTAGGCATGCTGCCAATAGAAGTTATTCCTTGGATAGGGGCATCATACTTGGAAACGGGATGAGTGGTGAAAGAGAGGAAAACCTTCAATCAAGTGGATTGACATGGTGACCGCAGCAATGAAGTTTGAGTGTGTCTGAGATTGCGAGGACAGCATGGTATAGGACAGTGATTAGATCGGTTTTTCATAGGGTCTCTATTAATTGTACTCAATTCCACGGCATCTAACCACAATAACTGGTCCAAACCATCCTCTTCCTGCAACTTTCCTTCTTCAAGACAGCCCTTCTATGATGCTAGGCTCACACAAGATGATCCCATCCACACTAATTTTCAGAATCTTTTGTTTTCTCCTACACTGTCATTAGGACTCGTTTCATGGTAAAATAGCACCTTGGCATGGGTCTTCTTGTGGGCTTCACACACTTAATCAAATCATTCAAATTATAGGTATAGCATATTTTTATAACAAGAAAATACCATGTTGAGTTGAACACAGTATCAAACTGGTGTAAGTATTCATTTTTCTTTCTTCTCCTCTATAATTTTCTAGAAAACTTGTGGCAGAAAATGACTGTTATGGTCTACTATAATATGACTACTAGCCAGAAGTTCAGAGGTAATTTGTTGAGTGGAAAGCCAGTTGCATTGTTCTATGCTCCATTTCTATTATCAACATCTAAGGTAAAAATTCTCTCGAATGACTGACGTTCAAATAAGTATTAGAAATAATGTGTACATAAGTGATGACAAAATACTTATGTCTGTTGTGAAAGCATATCCAAGCATGGTAAAATGACTGAAATACTCCAACCAATGAAATAAACACAACCCTCATTCTAATCAAGATCTGCTAGCCCAGTAGTTGGAGATGAAAGGTGTCTAGTTAAGTCTAGACAAATGACAATACAAAGCACTATGTCATTGCCTCTTTTCAACACACTGCTATAGCAAGTCCTAGATAGTCTGCTCTATATGGATCTCAGTTGAAAATGTGAGTCTACCATCATAAATGCAAACTTCAATTATTGCATGAGCAAGCCAGGAACAGTGCTGAGAAATTTTTGTTCTTCACAAGAAGTATCATTTTTCAAATCTTGACTACTGTTTTAGTAATAACTTTTTGGGAGTAAAATTTCAGATTTATTTTTCTAGTCTACAAGAAAGTTCTTGTTTTTGTCACAACCTTAAAATGAGACTGATCTTAATTGTTCAACATAGAGTCTGAAAGTGAATATGATGTTTTGATTATGTACAAAATGAAACTCCATTTGCCATGTCAAGAAGGAAGATCTGAATAAGCTAAATTATCTAATTTCTATGCTAATAAGTCTATGCTCAGGTCCTAAA